CCTGGAGTGAGTGGGGGAGCGTCTCACGTACCTGAAGAAAGTCCCACGATGCCGGTTTCTGAGCTCGACAGCAGCACAGCACAGGCAGGCCAGCAGCTGAAAGCATTTGCTGACTCAGCCGCTGGGAGTGGGTCTGCAGACCCTGCTCTCTTGTTTCGAGAAGCCCGTGGGCTGGGGGTTTATACTCAGTTAGGAGAACCAGGGTCTCTGGCCCAAGACCAGGTGGCAGCGTCCTCTGGGGAGAAGGCCCAGGAACACTCGTCAGAACAGGATGCTGGGGACGGCCAGGGAAGCCGGGCTCTCTGCGGCACCTCGATGGCCCTGCTGCCTGGCCGGCCTGGAAATGCAGAGGCGGGAAGCCTCCGCGAGGTGCGCGGCTCCCACCTGAGGAGCCCGCGGTCCGGCCCCGGTGAGGTCCTGCTTCTGGAGGCCGCGGCCCCGCCGCAGGAGAAAGCATGGTCCGTGGACGTCGTGCCAGCTGGCTATGCCTACGGCACCACGTCTGAGCCGGGGCCTCAACCCAGCCAGGGTGGATTGCTGGGTCCTGAAGGGGGCCTCACAGGCCACGCGGGGGACTTGGACCCGTCGCCCTGCGGGACCGAGACACATGCTGACCGGAGGGAGCTGGAGGGCATCACTGCCGTCAGGGAAGCCATGGCTTTCGAAAATGCCAGTGGGGGTCCCACGTTGCCATCCCAGCGACAGGAGCAGATATTTATCCAGACTTCTGATGGGCGTATCTTGTCCCATCCAGGCTCCATAGTGTCTGGGGAGGGGGACATTGTCACAGTGACCGACACAGAGGGGCCTGCCCTGCAGCCGGGGCCCCCGGAAGGAGTTCCTCTGGAAACCATGGAGACGGAGCCCTCTCATGAAATGGAGGCAGAACCGCAGTCCTAGATTTGTATGTATTTTACCTGGAGGTCTACTTCAAGGAATGTTTATTTTTCTAATGTGAATACTGACACAAGTGAACATTTTATTTATAAAGAATAATGTCTTTCTACCCCACTGTCTACCTTTTTCTACATCTTTCTCATTGTAATAATGGCAGATACGTTACCTGATAACAAATTCCCGATACATCTAACTGGTAGGAGCTTTTGACCACTATTGCAGTTAATACCACTACACTGTTTCTTGAATCTCCCCTGCTCCCCAGTTCCAAAAAACTACGCCCCCTTTCTCTTCGGTGATATGCTGCTCTTTCACCAGACTTGGTCCATACTAGAAGCTTCTTTTGGGCTCAATAAAAAAATAAATATGTAAGCTTGCCATCTGGGCAGCATTTTATTGGGAAGTAGGAAAGAAAGTTGTTTCTACTGACACTTTATGGATGAGGAAAGTGAGGCATAGGGATGGGACCCCCAGTCCTTTGATGTCCCACGTGTAAAGTCACTTATCAAGATCTCTCTCTTTTTGGAATGTTTTCCTTGGCTCTATTACAGGGAGAGAAAGGGAGGGCCCTTTGCCCACACACAGCTGACAGCATCAAGAGGGCACAGCTGTCGTCTGCCCCCGCTGGCAGAGACTGTCCGCAGAGGCCCCGGGCAGGCGGAGCTGCGGGTTGTGGGCTGCACCCCCGGTGCTGTGCTCCCGTCAGGCCCGCTGTGGAGGGGCAGGCCTTATTCTTGGGGGCCACATTGCCTACAGCCCTCTCAAGTGACTGGGGGCGTCTTCCTGTCCTCTAACTTGATGTCAAAGCGGGTCCAACAGGAACAGAAGGGTGGGCATCCCTGCAGGATGGAATGAGTAAACCACAGCTGCTCAGGAGAGTCGGGCTCGAGGGTCAGGCCATGGCACTGATGCCGAGAGCTCAGCTTCTCTGTACACTGGTGACCAGTCGAATCTCAGAGACAGAGTTTTGGGTGAAGTAGAAAAGGACAGCTTTATTACTCTGCCAGACAAAGGGGGACACAGTGGGCTCCTGCCTTGGAAAAACTATGTGTCCCAGCCCGGGAGGATCTGATAAGGAGTTTTATAACAATACCTCCCAAGGGCGGGGTTGCTGACAAGATGAGGGGCCGCGGGGTCTCAGGCGCGGGCCTCCTAGCCTTGATGAGCTTCTCAAGGCCTTGCTGAGCTTCTCGGGTCCCTGTGATCTCGCCTCCTAGCCTTGGCCGCTCCTCCCTTGATTAGCAGCTGTTCAAACCTGCCCTTTGGCACTCAGGGGAGGTCACGGAGGCTGCAGTCTTGCCTACAAGAAACGGGGGACAAGAAGGCCTCCATGCCCGGGAGCCCCACGGGGCCCCGCTAGGTTTCAGCACATCCTGTGGACCCGGGCACTTCTCGGGAACCCAGAGCCGCGCGAAACCACTGGGGGTCCAGTCCTGGGGGCCTGGAGCGTGGGGGTTAGGACTTCAACACGCGAACCTGGGGGGACACATCCAGAGCACAGCACCTCTCAAGTAAAAATGTGAGCCGGTGGGCATTCAGGAAGTTGAGTGGCTCTGCTCCAGAGGTGGTCTAGACCCAGGTCGCTTCCGCACCTAGGGTGGCCCTCTTCCCAGAGGTCTCAGAAGGCTTGCTGCCCCGTGTGTCTGCTCCATCCCCCGGAGAGAGGAGCCTGTGAGGGTGGCGATCTGAGAGATGCACACAAGGCCTCTGCTCACATCTCGTTGGTCCTTGGCCACACCTTGCTGCAAAAAAGGCTCTGAAACCTCCTCCTAAACTGGTAGCCATAGCCAGGTAACACTTAAATGAAGCAGAGAATCAACACCAAAGGAGGACCCGCCAAACGCCTCCCCCTAGAGTGGTTAAAATTGCTTCGGGTCAGTCTGGAGAGGTGGTAGTAGCAGCTCTGATAAAACAACAAAGGGGTGTGCGTCTCCTGCTCACAAGTCATGTCACTCAGAGGTCGCAGGGGACCCAGCAGGGGCAGCCACATCTCAAGCACTGCTGGTGACGCCACCAGAGGGAGAGAGCTTCGGGAGAGGTTAGACCCACCACGAGAGGCACTTCGGTGGCCACATGGTCTCACCCAAGCCCAAGGGCACTGAAGTGCAGGCTTTCCATGGGCCGGGAAGGCAGGAGTCTGGGAATATTTGGTGAATGGCGTGAGTGGTTGATCAACAGAGGTCACATTATCACTGTTGTTCACAGCTGTGCTGTGTTCGGTACCTTGTGATTCCTTTCATGGTTTGTCTAAGCTTTTGTGTTTCCTGGAAAGAGAGAGGGAGGGAATTTTTTTTTTTAGTTTTCATTAAATGTACTTATCGTGAATTCATCTTGAACTGCTTCCCCATCCCAGTTCTGTTTTTGTGGATTCTACCTGTTAATATTTCTTTACTGTCTATTTTGCAAGATTTCCAGAGGCAGAGGAGATATCTGGTGATCAATCCACTATGCTTAGAAGTCTAATATGGGTTCTCCAATGGCTTCATTGTTCCTTTCAGATAGAAATTGTCCTATAGTTGTGTAATGACTTTGGAACTCAGCAAACTCAACAGCCGAGAGCTCTTCCATCAATCTGATGCCTCTTCTGCTGTGTGAGGGACCCCTGGGCTAATGCCACTGGACACCTGGCTCATTCACTTGTTTGTCCTTTGCAGTGAAACGGAGCAGGACCCTGTGGGACTCCTGGGCACAAGTCCTTCCATGTCACCCATTTCTTGTTTGTAGGAGATTGGTTTCATTCAGCTTCCATGGCCTTCCCCGAGTTCCAAAGGGCAGGTTCAAACAGCCGCTAATCAGGGAACGGAGGGGATGCAGAGACAAGAGGAGTAGTCAAGAAACAATAGTGCAGCCTTAGGGCAGGGTCCTGGTTCCTCCTCAAGGGATACACAGAACAATACCTTGGAGCTCTTCTGCAGAGCTAAAACCCCCAACAAATAGAAGACGTTAACTACCTGACGAAGCACTCTATTCCAGAGAGGCCACAGCTCGAGGATGCCAGATATTTGGACTGAAGGAACGGGGGCCTGCACACACTCTCATCCTTACCAGCAGCCCACCCCAGGTTGGGACACACAGTTTTGAGGGCATTAGCCCACTGTTGCCCCCTTTGCCTGGCAAAGCAATAAAGCTATTCTTTTCTTCTTCACCCCAAACTCTGTCTCTGAGATTCAGTTCAGTGCTAGTGCACAGAGGTGGGGTTTTGGCATCAGCAGCACTGATCGTTTCCATTAGTTCTTCTGGGCAACCTGGGTGTCCGAGGACGAGGCATCACGAACACAGGAAATGTCCTAGAAAGGGCTAGAAATTCTTCAGGGTCTCCTCTGAAGAGCATTTGTTCTTTAAGTAACCACACCCCACCCCAAACATAAAACTGACCTCGTGCCTCGGAGGGCCCCGTCCTGCCTGTCTGGCTCAGGACTGCAGCCTGCTGTCTAAGCCGCAGGACGCAGGGGGCAGGGTGCCACTTTTGCCGAATGCTGACCAGGCGGTTTCCAGACAGCAGGACATCTGACAGGCTGCTTTTCTGATGGTTAGATTTTAATAAATACTGCAAAGGAAAGAGAAATTCTAAGACATGTTGCCTTTAAATGCTTTGGCTATGCCAACTTACACAGTGAGATATCCTTTCGCTCAAAACACATTCCCATCATATATAAAGTCTTTTATTTTGGGAATATTTTCTTTCTTTGCCTGGGATGCTAGAAGTTCAGTTTCATGAGGCTACAACCTGTATCACACAGCATGAAGTTTCTTAGATTTCTGTTTCTGGGGAGCAATGGCAGGACTGACCCTGGATATCTGGTTGCAAATATTGCCAAACTATAGGATTTATGCCCAGAGAATGACATGGAAGACACTTCACTTGGCCTGTCGCAGCCTCAGTACAAAAATAGGGGTAATGTTTTGGTAGCCAGTTTTCATTTCCATGATGCTGGTCTTTGCTCAGTGACTCTACGGTACTTTAAAGGTTAGTTGTGATTACAAAACTAATACGGTCCCACAGTTTAAACAATACGCAAAAATATTAAACCAGGGATTTTCTAAGTAAATGTAATCTATGTAAAATACACCTAATTTACAAAAACAAGATCACTTAGTCATTCTGTTGAGGAATTCATTTATTTCGGGCAGAAGTCTTCATAGTGACAAATTCACAGTAGGTGCAGATGACGCTGAGTGGTGGACGGCAGGCAGCAGCGATAACCGCAGAGAGCTGGTGAAATGATCAGGTCTGGAAGATCCTAAGGTCAGTGGGTGGCTGAGCCAGAGCACAGGTGAGATCCCAGGTTGCGACAGGGGCCGTGACCCCGGGGTGCGGCAGGGGCCGTGATTGGGGTGAGGCAGGGGCTGTGATCCCGGGGTGCGGCAGGGGCCATGATCCCGGGGTGCGGCAGGGGCTGTGACCCCGGCATAAGGCAGGGGCCGTGATTGGGGTGAGGCAGGGGCCATGATCCCGGGGTGCGGCAGGGGCGTGATCCCGGGGTGCGGCAGGGGCCGTGACCCCGGCATAAGGCAGGGGCTGTGATTGGGGTGAGGCAGGGGCCATGATCCCGGGGTGTGGCAGGGGCCGTGATCCCGGGGTGCGGCAGGGGCCGTGACCCCGGCGTAAGGCAGGGGCCGTGATCCCGGGGTGCGGCAGGGGCGTGATCAGGGTGCGGCACAGGGCCCACCCGAAAGACAGTCCGCCGTGGGAGCTGCAGAAGCTGAGGTCCAGAGCCCGGAGGAGCGCGGAGCCGCACTGGGAGGTCACAGCGCTCGGTGCCCGGTTTCAAGCAGCATGCTTTCCAGAAGCAGCCTGCTGTCGCCCTCCACGTAGGGCTGGTGCAGCCACATGGACAGGTAGCTCAGGGCCAGGTCACGGTCGGCCGTGTGCGCCAGCTGCTCCACGATGGTGCGCTTCAGGCGGAGCTCCCGGCCGTACATGTCAGAGAGCTTGCGGGAGACCTCGTCTGAAAGGAACGCGAGCCGTCCTTGAACAGTGGCATTCAAGGGGGTACCCTTGACTAGGGACGACCCGCCACTTTTTTTTTTTGGCCACACCGCACAGCTTGCGGGACCTTAATTCCCAGACCAGGGATGGAACCCGCACCCTCTGAAGTGAAAGCACTGAGTCTTAACCACTGGACAGCCAGGGACTTTGCAAAGCTCCTCCTTAAAAGCTAGAGTCAGCGACAGCACAAGAGGAAGAAGGGCTCCAGCCAGTGCAGATTAGAATCAGATAACATGGTAAATAAGTGTCATGAAATTAAAAAGTACCTGTTACCTTTCCACTCGACTCTTAGGAACTGGCAATCATTATACATAGCAGATTGACCTCAAACTGACAATGTTCAATAAACACGTTACGTGAGGTGATTTTCTCCCTTATTTAAGCCTCAAAGCAACATCAAATAGCTTAGTCCTTCTTTTAAACTAATAAAGCAAAAACACAGCCCTTACCTCACAGCTTAGTTATGTAATGGAGTTTGTTTTCCCAGCGGTCCTCTTCCATGGGGTGGGCTGAAGTGACCCCCACCCCCCCGCCATGTACTTTTTAAATAAAACAAAGCAAAAACCCATCCTTCTTGAAAAACAAAAACGAGATTTCTGCCTCTACAGAGGAGGCAAAGTGCATTCTACCCGTTGGCCTTAAAGGGCTAATAATGGCAACTTGCTTCATGGGTCTCTAATTACATTTAATATTCTTTGCTGATTAGTGGGTAATTAAAGGCAAGAAGAAACACTCCTCTAAGATGTCCTCATCTCCTTCCTTCCCAATGGATCCTCTTCAATTGAATTTCAAAGCCTGTCAGCTTCTTAGAGGGCCAGATCTAAATGACACCAAATGCTCTCATAACCTACCCTTGAAAATCAACGCAGGAAGAACTACTTACAAAAATAGGCTGTGGGCCACGTGTGGAACAGGGGGGGCCGTTTTCTCTCCTCCCCATAATGGTAATCTTCTAGTTCACAAATCCCCTTGGTAGTGGAAGACAGCTTTTCCATTTTCATCTGTATTTTGGCCTGAAAAGATATTAATTTAGAATATGAGATTATTATTTGAAATCCTCTCTTAGATTCAATAACTCTAAGATTTCAAAGCTAAGAAATGTAAGTCTGCTGAGATCGTAAGTCCAGTGATCAACAATATTAACTCCATGTGCAGCAAATTTCCAGGGAGAAGGAGACTGACAGTTGCTACGATTTCACTAATTTGGATGACTTCAGTAATAAAGCCCACATCTCCAGTGCTGGAGAAGAGGAAGCTTGCTGGGTCCCACTTCATTAAGTTTTCCGAACATCACTAATTTTTTAGCACCAAAGACCTGGAGGGGTGGCAAGGCAGGCTCTCGCTTTTATGGAATGAGAGGAGAAGGGGCATTAAATGAGCTCATTTCTGACTCTTTTTTAAAAAATTAATTAATTAATTAATCTTTGGCTGCACTGGGTCTTCGTGGCTGCGCGTGGGGGCTACTCTTCATTGCCGTGCGCGGACTGCTCATTGCAGTTGCTTCTCTTGTTGTGGAGCACGGGCTCTAGGTGCACCGGCTCTGTAGTTGTGGCTCGCGGGCTCTACAGCGCAGGCTCAGTAGTTGTGGCTCACGGGCTTAGTTGCTCCGTGGCATGTGGGATCTTCCTGGACACCAGGGATCAAACCCGTGTCCCCTGCCTTGGCAGGCGGATTCTTAACCACTGCACCAACCAGGGAAGTCCCTCATTTCTGACTCTTATGAACTGCCTTTGAGTTTAATGCCAAAAGCTCGGCCTCTGTGCACCAGTGTCGAGTCAAATCTTGGAGACAGAGTTTTGGGTGAAGCAGAAAAGAATAGCTTTATTGCTTTGCCAGGCAAAGGGGGACACAGCGGGCTCCTGCCCTGAAAAACTATGTGTCCCCAACACGGGAGGATCTGATGAGGGGTTTTATAGCAACAGTTCAAGGGTGGGGTTGCTGATAAGATTCGAGTGTGTGTGGGGCCTGCACTCCTTTAATCTGGTCTCACCAATGGTCCTCTCCTAATCTTTTCTTTTTTTTCCCCCCGGTACGCGGGCCTCTCACTGTTGTGGCCTCTCCTGTTGCGGAGCACAGGCTCCGGACGCGCAGGCTCAGTGGCCATGGCTCACGGGCCCAGCCGCTCCGCGGCATGCGGGATTTTCCCGGACCGGGGCATGAACCCACGTCCCCTGCATTGGCAGGCGGACTCTCAACCACTGCGCCACCAGGGAAGCCCCTCTCCTAATCTTGATGAGCTTCTCGGGTCCCTTTAATCTCGCCTCAGGTGGTTTCTTGGCTGCTCTTGCTTTGCTCAGCAACTGTCTGAAGCTGCCCTTTGGAACTCAGGGAAGGTCATGGAGGCTGGAGTCTTGTCTACAAACAAGAAACGGGGGACGGAAAGGCTTCCGTGCCCAGGAGCCCCACAGGGTCCTGCTCTGTTTCCAGTTTACTGAAACCTCTTTGAGGCTTGTTTCCTTGTTTATAAAATGGTAATAACGAAAGGCAGCCCTACATACTTCACGCAGGAAGGAAGTGGTGAGGACGTGACGTGGACGGTGCCTCAGCGTACGCCAGGCTCTGTGCTGCGGCACAAAGTGGCTGCTTCCACGGGGTGTCGGGGGACTACGTTAGTACTTGTGGAGCACCTGGTCAGAGCTACGTAAGGGTTTGTTAAGTAAAACAAATGGGTGAAGTAACAGAGATTCCAGATATCAGTAGCATGGGTCTACTAAGACCACAAGTCTAGGTCCTAAGTATGGAGTTAGCTTTATGTACCCAGGGGGTATAAGCAAAGATACATAAATCGTCAAAATCTTAATTCCTTGCACTTAGTCCTTCAACCACCCTCCAGTTACATCTGAAGAGGCGTGCACTGAATTTAGCGAACATTAATTTTTAAAGGACTAGACTTCTTTTCCCAAATCTTTCCAGGTTCGATATGTCACTTGACCCAACCCCAAGAGGCAGGACTCATCATTTCCGTACCACAGGTGGGAAAATTCTCTAGGTTGCTGAGCTAGGGAAGCACGAGGCCAGGACTTGATAACACGCTTTCCGACCCCAAGTCTCTTGACACCCAATCCTGAGCTCTCTCCTCTGTGTCCTGCAGCAGCTCCACCTAATGCTAAGAAAAGCTGATAAAGGTCAGGAGAGCCAAGAAGATCCTGGAGGCTTGACACCACCGGGCCAGAGGTGCCAGCCGCATTCTGGGGCTCATTCATCAGTGACGATACCAAAGTCTCACGCACGTGCAGCCCTAAAGTGACAGCAGCTGGACACGCTCTCAGCTCCACGTCCCCTCCCAAAGCCAACAGCCCACACCTCGAGATGTTCGTCCAGCTTAGGGACAAGGGTGCCTCCACCCTCTACCAATTTCAGATTCAAGACAAAGTCAAGTTCGGGAAACCATTCTCTCTAAAGGATGGAGGAAAATAGGAAAAATAATATCAATATCCTTAAGGATCAACATTGGTTTTGAACCTAAGAATGTGAACTAATTCTCAAATCACTTTATTTTACTTTATATTTTGGCCGCGCTGTACCGCTTGTGGGATCTTAGTTCCCTGACCAGGGATCGAACCCAGACCCCCGGCAGTGAAAGTGCAGAGTCTTAACCACTGGACTGCGAGGGAAGTCCCTCAAACCACTTTAAAATAGAATAAATTCACTGGAGCAGAACTTTGGGGCCTGACAACTAGCACCCGTGGTCAGCCCAGGCTTTGTCTGAAGACCTTGGGAACGCAGGTCACTATGGGCACGCAGTCACCTAAAACCTTGCAGCCACTTTCAGCTGGCCTGCCAGGCCACACCCCCTCACCCTGGACCCGTGCTGTGGGTAGAGGGACCAGGGCCAGGACGTGTCACCTGTTACTGCTCAGTCCATCAAGCCACTGGCTGGATGTTCTGGACCTTGACTCTACCTCCTAACATCCTCCCAGGCCGTCCCTCCTCCGTGCGGGTCAGTAGGACTGAGGAAGGGGTCCCGTGGTACCAGACAGCCACTTAAGAATGGGGAGAACCAAGGATGGACAAGTAAAACCAGTCAGTCATTCCTGACATGCCTGAAATGGAAGGCAATATACCTCTTCCCCCTCGTCCTGCGCAGGCGCTCTTCCCTAACGAGGTGTGCATAGGTACAGAGTTATAAATGTGGACTTGTGAACTAAAGAAAGCCAAATGGCATTTAGAAACAAAATCCTTCCCAGGGTTTTCACATTTTATAAAAGTCACATTAGTATATGTCAAAAGTGTTTCTCATTTTAACCCAGTTTGGGGATTCTGTGGAATGTTTTTTTTTTTTTTTGCGGTACGCGGGCCTTTCACTGTTGTGGCCTCTCCCATTGCAGAGCACAGGCTCCGGACGCACAGGCTCCAGACGCGCAGGCTCAGCGGCCATGGCTCACGGGCCCAGCCGCTCCGCGGCATGTGGGATCTTCCCGGACCGGGGCACGAACCCGTGTCCCCTGCAACGGCAGGCACACTCTCAACCACTGCGCCACCGGGGAAGCCCTCTGTGAAGTGTTTTATGCCAGAAAGGAAGATGGAAGGTCAAGGATGAAGAGGTTCTGGTGGGAGTGTTGCCACATCTAACAACAAATGACCGAGCCCAGCATCGTGTGTTTACCTTTGTTGGCTATTTAAAGTATTTCAGTGTACACAGGGAACTATATTCAACATCCCGTAACAAACCATAATGGAAAAGGATATGAGAAAGAATATGTATTTATATGTCTAACTGAATCACTTTGCTGTACACCAGAAACACAACATTGGAAATCAACTATACTTCAGTGAAACAACAACAACAAAAACTGACAATTAAAAGCTAAGTGTGGGACCTCCCTGGTGGCGCAGTTGTTAAGAATCCGTCTGCCAATGCAGGGGACACGGGCTCGAGCCCTGGTCCAGAAAGATCCCACATGCCACGGAGCAACTAAGCCCGTGTGCCACAACTATTGAGCCTGTGCTCTAGAGCCCATGAGCCACAACTACTGAGCCCGCGTGCCACAACTACTGAAGCCCGCGCGCCTAGAGCCCATGCTCTGCAACAAGAGAAGCCACTGCAATGAGAGGCCCACGCACCACAAGGAAGAGTAGCCCCCACTCGCCGCAACTAGAGAAAGCCTGTGCGCAGCAACAAAGACCCAAAGCAGCCAAAAATAAATAAATAAATAAATAAATTAAAAAAAAAGCTAAGTGTGACCAGGAAATAAATAAATAAAATATTTCAATATAGGAACTTAGCCATTCAGTTTCTTCTCTTTCAAACAATATGTGTGCCCATGCTTGGTCCAAACAAAACCACTTGCCATAATCAAATGGGTTAATCTGGGGAAAAAACATACATGTGGTCAGTTTTCAATTGGGTCATTCTGGAAATTTCGATTGATTACTCTGCCTGTGTTAATTCTCTACTGGTCCAGAAGTCTAGGTCTAGAACTCAACTACTGGAGACACAGCTGTGAACCTGGAGATAAAACAAAGAAAACACCAAGCTCACACACCTTATCCTCCAGCCTTCCCGTGAGTGGGGCTTAAACCAAAGTGACTGATGACCCAGGCCTGTCTTGTTCCTGCCTGAGCACCAGGTGGAGAGCCTGGGCGGGGGGGCAAGTGTTCCTTATCACAGCACAACCCACAGGCAGCATCACAAAACAGACGGGACAACTACAAAAACCTAATCATTTATTTAGAGGAGACAAATAGCCCCATACAGGGCAAGATATCTTGAAGACAATATTGCATTTCAAGCAAACAAAAGGCTAACTCACCAAAATGTTCTCAATGCACTGTTTATTTTTCTCATTTTAATGTTTCAGAAACCATTACATCTTACAATGGATGCGATGTTTAAAAGGGCAGTGCTTCTTTCCTGAAAAACTCTTAAACCTATCGTCTGCCTCATAATACGTGGAACCCTAACTTTGAATAAGTGGTATCTTGAAGAAATACAATTATATTTGACATATTCTGTTTAAAAAGGCAAGGAAGCATGTAAAACATTAGAAACATTTCCATCAAGAAAGGTTAAACTATACAGACTTTCTATGTTTGTGGGAAGCTTTAGTTAGTTAGTTCAAAGATGTGCAAAACCTTATCCCTGTGTCTGGTTGAGATGAGGTGTTTCGTGCACATGTGGTGGCCAGCATGGTGGGTACTGACATCCAGACTTTAAACAAACATATAAGAGCATCTCTTATGTGCGAGATCAAGGCTCACAGGCCCAATGCAGCTCAAAGCCTATTTCTGTGTGTCCCTTGAGCTAAGAATGGGTTTTACATTTTTAAGTGGTTGAAAAAAAAAAATCAAAAGCAGAATATTTTGTGACACGTGAAAATTATCTGAAATGCAAAGTTCAGCATCCATAAATAGAGTTTTATGGGAACACAGCCGCACCCACTCGCCTCTGTACTGTCGATGAGTAGAGGTGAGAGTGCCTGCCGGGTCCCCAAAGCCTGACATACTTCCTGTGGAGCCTGGGAGTGGGTGAAATTGCCCTGGCAACATGCAGAACCAAAAGAACCAAGGTCTAGGACAGCCTCTTGGGAAACAAGATTTATGGGACACGTAGAGCGAGAAAGACCAATGGAGGAGGTTGAGGAAGGAAAAACGAAAGCTTGGTGAAGGAAAGCACGACCAACCACGTGGAATGCTGCAAGGTGCTTGTGCACACGCGACACCCGAGGATCCCTGCACCTTACCAAAGCATCCAGGGTGGTCTGCAGCCCCTCGCACAGCATCTCGAGCTCCCTGCTGTATTCTGGGTGCTCCTTTTCTGCATTTTCATCAGAAGCCAGGCTGCTGCTCTCTAATCCTATCGTGTCTTTGCTCCTGGACAAGATGGAAAAGAGTGGGAACAAAATACACTCCACAGGCTCGCTTCATTTCGTTGTGATGAACCCTCGAAAACTCAATATCCATGTACTTATGTCATCATCGACTTTTTCCATTGGCGTCGTTTCACGTCATCACATTTACATGTTATTTATATATACAACGAACATGTCCATCCGCTACTCAATTCTGCCCTAGAACAAGTCAATTCAATCCAGCCCTGTGGCATCCTAAGGGGGTAAGACACGGATCATTTCCTCAGAGTCCACCAGCTAGGAATGCGTTTTGTAAACGGAAGGCTGTGACCCACAGCACCTGAAATAAATCTAGCGGGGCCACGATCAACAATTAAGGAACAAAATTAGGGACTTCCCTGGTGGTTCAGTGGTTAAAACTCTGCGCTTCCGCTGCAGGGGACATGGGTTGGATCCCTGGTTGGGGAACTAAGATCCCACATGCCGTGCAGCATGGCCAAAAAAAAGAAATTTAAGGAAAAAAATTAAACATTAGAATAGAAAATATCAGAGAGCATCTTATGCAGTAAGGTAAGAACTGTTTCATAGAACTTGCTAAGCAGGAAAAGGCGGCAGAGGGCCGACGTGTGTGATATGTTTGAAAGAACTGGAAGAGCCAGGGACCCAGGCCAGAAAGTTAAGACTCTAGACTCTGGCCAGTAGACAAAGATATACAAATATATAATTACAACTTTGAGAAATTAAAACTACACATATATAGATCCATGCTCATGCTTCTCTTCAGATCATATATATCTTCCGCATTTTGCTAAAGATTCTCGTGGGTAGGAACAAGCTTGAGTCTTGCTTAAATTTTTTGAGGCCTTGCATAAGCAAAGCTGATTAAAAAAAACAAAAACATATATATAGGAAAGTGCAAGAACAGTAAAGCAAATCTTCCAATTAGAATTGGCAACTGTCAACAGTTTTTTTCCATAACCCCTTTGTCTTTTTTTTTTTTAACATCTTTATTGGAGTAATTGCTTTACAATGGTGTGTTAGTTTCTGCTTTACAACAAAGTGAATCAGTTATACATATACATATGTTCCCATGTCTCTTCCCTCTTGCGTCTCCCTCCCTCCCACCCTCCCTATCCCACCCTTCTAGGTGGTCACAAACCACCTAGCTGATCTCCCTGTGCCATGCGGCTGCTTCCCACTAGCTATCTATTTTACATTTGGTAGTGTATATATGTGCATGCCACTCTCTCACTTTGTCACAGCTTACCCTTACCCTTCCCCCTCCCCATATCCTCAAGTCCATGCTCTAGTAGGTCTGTGTCTTTATTCCCGTCCTACCCCTAGGCTCTTCATGACATTTTTTTTTCTTAGATTCCATGTATGTGTTAGCATATGGTATTTGTCTTTCTCTTTCTGACTTACTTCACTCTGTATGACAGTCTCTAGGTCCATCCACCTCACTACAAATAACTCAATTTCGTTTCTTTTTATGGCTGAGTAATATTCCATTGTATATATGTGCCACATCTTCTTTATCCATTCATCTGTTGATGGACACTTAGGTTGCTTCCATGTCCTGGCTATTGTAAATAGAGCTGCAGTGAACATTGTGGTACATGACTCTTTTTGAATTATGGTTTTCTCAGGGTATATGCCCAGTAGTGGGATTGCTGGGTCGTATGGTAGTTCTATTTGTAGTTTTTTAAGGAACCTCCATACTGCTCTCCATAGTGGCTGTATCAATTTACATTCCTGCCAACAGTGCAAGAGGGTTCCCTTTTCTCCACACCTTCTCCAGCATTTATTGTTTGTAGATTTTTTGATGATGGCCATTCTGACCGGTGTGAGATGATATCTCATTGTAGTTTTGATTTGCATTTCTCTAATGATTGATGATGTTGAGCATCCTTTCATGTGTTTGTTGGCCATCTGTACTCCTTTGTCTTTTTAGAAGAACTTGCTAAGGGAAAACATGCTCTTGTGTGTCTCCTCTGCTCTGAATACCCCTCTCTACTTCCGACACCTGGTCATCAAAGGGAGGGGGGCGCCTCTCCACACCAAGCAATTCTCAGGTTCTCCAGACACCAGCTGGGTGTCTTACAGTGTAACGCAATCCTGATGCTATCTATCAGAGACAGCATCAGATCCCACAGGTTAAGGGCTCTGTCCCACAAGACTACCCCCGTCTTAACTTCAGACATCAATCACAAGTTCAGGTTGTTACCTGTGCTTAGGACGGACCAGCTGTCAATTGGAAGTTCCCACGACCCCCTCCTTGGGTTCAATTAATTTGCTAGACCAGCTCACAGGACTCAGGAAAACAGTTTACTTTCTGGACTACTGGTTTATTACAGAGGATATTAAAGGAGACCAATATCCTTTATTCGTGTCCTTTATTCATATACCTGTAGACAAGAGGTACTCAAGGCAAGGTCTGGAAGGTTGAGCAAAGGAGCTCCTGTCCCTGAGGAGTCTGGGGTACATTTCCCTTCAGGCACATGGAAGCGTTCTGGTTCCCCTACCCAGAAGCTCTCCAAACCCCCGTCCTTTTAGGTTTTCACGGAGGCTTCGTTATGAAGGCATGATTGATTAAATGATTGGCCATTGGTGATTAATTCAACTTCTAGCCCTTCTCACCTCCCTAGAGGTGAGGTAAGGGGGTGGGGCTGATAGTGCCAACTCTAGTCACGTGGTTACTGCCTCCCTCCTTAGGGTTTTCCAGAAGCCCCCTCATTAACACGAACTCAGGTGTGGTAGAAAGGGGTTTGTTATGGTAACAGGAGACTCCTTTCCCCTTTACCACTCTGGAGCTAGTCCAGGAACTGGAGAACAAAAGAAGAAATCTCAGCCTAACTAAAGATTCTCCCATTGCTCATGTCCCTAAGGAAATTATAAGGGTTTTAAGAGCCGTGTGTCAGGAAGGGACAAAGACGAAACATATATTTTTTTTTACTATAAATCACAATACCACAGAAATAAAATGCAGCATTATGAAGTGATACTTCTTCCTAGAAGATACCAGTGTCATGAATTGAGTCTGTATCCTTCCAATCCGTTTTTATAATTTTATATACAGATGTAACCATGGACAATTTATAGTATAATTTTGCATTTAAAATGTACACACACAGTTCATAGTTGCATGCATTATTTTATCACTTGCTTTTTCGCTTTATATAATTCATCCATGTTCCTAGAGACTACCCTTCCCATTCTAAAAGACTGCCATGAAATTTCTGCCCAATCATTAAGGGTGAAGCACACAGAGCACACTGTGTAGGTACTTACAATAAACTGATTTTCAGGTTGGCAATATTATTTGCAGTAGCAAAACCTCCATCATTGAGGGTTTCCCATTTCAGGATTAAATTATGCCAATCAGCTGCATTGTCCTTAATTTTCCTTGCACTGACAGATAAGACAGGTTTTCTGGGCGTTGCACTTCCAAGAGTCTTTGCTGATAGGGAGCAAAAGAAACATAATATTATGAAATTCATGATCACGGTTGGGGGGAAAACCCAAACTGTTCTAATTTGCAACCGTAAAACTATCGGCAACACTACATCCACTGAACAAAACACGTAGTGTTAATGAAGACGTGTGGATGAATGTGAAAGTCGCTGCAACAAGACAAAACAGAATTGTTTTTACGTTTTTAGGTCTCACCAGATATACAAATCCTCTCGAAGCTTAACGGCTCCACAAAGTTTTACCCCGAACACTCTGACCACTTTCAAAGGTTGGGAAGGAGGTGGAACTGTGACTTTCCGCCGCGAGGCTCCGATGCCCCTGCCTTACCGCGCCCGTTCTCCAGTCTCTGGAACTTTGATACCTGACGTTTGCTCAGAGCTTTGTGGGTCACCAGAGCTCACCACTCCAACACACTGACAAGCTGAACCCCGGAGATGCGGTGATGATCTCCACGCTAGGAATGCAGGAGGAGGTCCAAAGTCCTTCAGGACCCGGCTACTTCTCTGCCTCAACACTCACCTCAACCCCGACCTTGAAGCCCCTCGATCTCTAGCTAAAGTCAACTACTGGCAGCTCTTGAAAAGTCCTTTGCATGTGCAGTTCTCTCTGCTAGAAAGCTCTTTCCTTCCTCGGGCTAACGCTGCCCATACCCCAGGATTCACCCAGATCCCAGCTCCTGTGGGAAGCAACACCCAGACCACTCAGGCTGTTTGGGCCCTCCCAGCCCTCCTGTGCCCTCTCTTCTTCTCTACTTAGAATCCTTCAAAGGCGTCTCATGGCCCACAGGATAAGGTCCAAATTCTGAGAGAGGCCCCTTAAGGAATCCAGGACGCACAATGGCAGTATAGTTTGGAGTCTAGACTCTGAAGACCAGAATGACTGGGTTTGAATCCCAGCTCTGTCACTGCCAGTTGTACAATCTTGGGTTAAGTTAGTTAACCTCTCAGAGCCTCAAAGTGCCTATCTGTAAAATGGGGATAAAATATATCTACTACAAAGAGTTGATGTGAAGATCAGATAATATATATGAAGCTAGGAGTTCCTTGGCAGTTCAGTGGTTAGGACTCCACGCTTCCACTGCAGGGGGAGCAGGTTCGATCCTTGGTCGGGAAACTAAGATCCCACACGCCACACAGCGCGGCCAAAAAAAATCCCCAAATAAAACATATACATATGTGTAAAGCTGTGAGGGTGTGAGGGCCTGGCACATGGCAAGTATCCAGCATAGGATGTATTACCACAAGGGCCTCTCCAACGTGTTTTTCCCACTGCCACCAAGCAGTAAATTCAATTCTGACGCTATCTATCTGGAGACAGCATCAGATTCCACAAGTTAATGACTCAGTCCTGTTAAGACTCCTCCCCCGCCTCCACTTTAGACATCTGTCTCAAGTCCAGGTTGTCACCTGTGCTCCTGACCTACCAGCTATAGGTCGGAGGTTCCAAAGACCCCCCTCCCTAGGGTTTGATTAATTTGCTAGAGTGGCTCACAGAAAACTCAGGAAAACATTTTACTTACTAGATTACTAGAAAGAGCCAGATGGAAGAGATGCATAGGGTAACGTACGTGGGCAGGGGTACAGAGCTGACAAGCTCTCTCCAAGTGCCACTCTCCCTGCGTCTCCACCTGTTCACCAACCTGGAAGCTCTCACAACCCTTTGCTTTTGTTTTTTTATGGAGGCTTCATTACATGGGCAGGATTGATTAAATGACTGACCATTGGTGACTGATTTAACCTCCAGCCTCTCTTGCCTTGTTGGAGATGGGGCTTTGGTGGGGTGGGACTGAAAGTTCCAACTCTCTAATCACATGGTTGGTTCCCCTGACAACCAGCCCCCATCCTTACGTTACCTAGGAGCTCCTCTTTTAAATATCATATTGATTTTTCATTCACTCTTTACTTATACAACTAACCAATATTCGCCAAGTGCCTACATTATGCCAGCTGTGGAGGCTGAAGTGACTAAATTAGATAGACCAGGACCATTTTCATTGAACTTACTTTCCAAAGATGAGGTGGATAACAGACAATTAGATGATCGTCAGTTTAGATCATAAGTGCCACAAAATAAAACACGGTCTTGTGTTAGCGTGAACCCGAGACGTTGTCATTTAGGCTGAAACCTGAATGATGAGAAGTCAACAGCAGAGGCCCTAAGGTGAGAATGAGCTTGGTGAGTGTGAAAAAAGAACAAGACCAGTGTGGCTAGAATGAAATGGAGAGAGAGGAGACAGTCAGACAGCTAGAAACTTATAGTCCAAGATAATAAGTTTGGATTTATTCCAAGTCAATGGAAAGCAAACAGTAAGCTTTGAGTTGGGAAGTGACATGATCTGATGTAGGTTTTTAGAAAGTCACTTCCACAAAGAAGTCCTCCTAGATCCACAGGTTGGGTAAGGACTCACTGCACTATATATCTGGAACACGCTGTACTTCATTCAGCTTCATTCATGACACTCACCAGTGTAGTGTATTTGCATGTTTAATGTCTAGTACATTCCTTGATAGACTGTTAAGTTCCACCAGAGTAGGGACTAAGACTGTCTTGGTCCCTCTCATAATCTCAGCACGTAGTAGGTGCTGACTAGAATGTGTTAAACGGAAGAAAAGCTCTTACCACCTGTACTATAATCTTCTAAGGGTTTCCCTCCGCCAGTAGGGGCTCCTTGCGGGCGAGGACCACGTGTGATTCATCGTGTCTGACCCATACCCAGCACATATTTAGGAACCAAAACCAATATTCTGACTTCAAGAAACTCACAGTCTAGCTGGGAAAGAGATCAGCTATCAATCACAGGGCAGGGCAGTAGCATAGTGACTACGTTACTTATCCCCTCCGAGCCTCGACTCCCCACCTGTTGACGTTACTTCATGGGATCGCTGTGCGCCTCAAACGAGCTGATCCACTTAAAGTACTTAGAACACGACTTGGCGCACAGTGAGTGCTCGCTGAATGATAGCTTTTATTACAAGCAGAAAGCTCTGTACCCGGGAATTCTGAGGGGAGTTCAGGGAAAGTGCTCCGCTGGTGCTAATTTATAACGACAATTACAATTTGAGTGTCAGGATCTGCTAACACTCCTTTGCATCATCTCGTTCTACACATGAAAAAATCGAGGCTCGGCAAAACTGACTGCCGGGCCGACCGCAGAGCCTGATCGGGGCCAGCGGGCTGGGCTGGGGCAAGGGACGGACCGCCATTCAGCCCGAAGATCAAACTATAACAATGGTACCCTCCCTGCCTGGGGGAGCTTGCCCTTCTCACGCACCTTCCATGCTGGCTGCAGAGATCCCGGGAAAGAGACCCGGAGCCCCGCCCACGCACGCCGGAAGTCCCATACGTCACTTCCGTCCCGCCCACCGCCTCCTGAGGCTCTGCCGCTCTAGCCGCCGGCGGAGCCAGCTGCCGCTCGTCGGTGCCGGCCCCGTTGCCCAGGGAACGGGTTCCCGGCAGTCCCCGCGGCTCGGAGTTCATCCCCGCCTCCTCCGGCCCGGCCGGGCCGAAGAGTCCGGAGGGGCTGCAGCGGGAGGTGAGTCCCGCGACGCCGCCCGCCCCACCGCCCGGCCCCGCGCCCCTCCCTCGGCCTTCCCGCCGCCGCTCACGCAGCCCCTGGGCCACTCTCCCTCGCCTCAGGGTCTCATTGCCCATTTCCCTCCCTTTCCCGGACTCCGTCTCGCCCGTGCCGGACCGCCGAGGCCGAATGCCATGGCACACGAAGCGCCGGGCTCCGTGCCCGGCAGAAGCTGTCAGTCCGCCGAGGGAGTGGTCGTCGCCCACCTCTCCTGGGCGCCGCGGGTCGGCCGACGCCTCCCGCGGGCCCTCCGCCCCAAGCGACCCGGCTCGCTCGCCCCTCCCCTTCCGCGCTTTCCCTCCCCTGTGCCGCACCCTGGCATCCCTTTTGCGCCGCGGGCCCGAGGCGCCGAGCTCCGTGGTCTTACGATTGACGCTGCGTCTTATCCCCCGACCCTCTCAGTCCCTGTCCCTTCATCCGCCCACCAGCGCCTGGCACCACGCCTTGGCATGTACCCAGTAGGTGCTCAGTAAGTGTTCGTTAAATGGATAAATGAACGACTCGTCTCCCAGTCCTGCCTTAAGGCCTCAGAGGCAGAATAGTGAGTGCAGGTTGAAGAGTGGGGTACCCTCGAGTCAGACCCGGCTCACAGCGCTGCCCCTTCCTAGCTGTGTGCTCAGGGCAAGTGATGTCTCACTAAACTTCAGGTTCATCATCAGTAAAGTAGGGATGGTAATAGTTTCTAGCTCTGGCTTGGTGGAAGGATTAAATGGGTCAGTGCGTGTGAATTGCTCAGCACGGTGCCTGGCACGCGGTCCATTTCAATAAAGGCTAGCCCCTGCTCTCCTTACCCACATACCCTACTTCCTTTTCTCTTCCCTTCCCTTTGTTCTTCCTCACTTTCTCGCTGAGATTCAGGAATTTTATTCTGTTCTGTTGCTTCTGTTAACATTTGTAGGCAGAGTGTGGGGTACCAGCATGCATGCACCTTTGCCTTACCTGCTGGAGTGATAAGTTGCCCTTGGGGTTAACTTCCTCCTTGTAGCCAAGGTCTTGAGAACTTTAAGGAAAGGAGTTCTGGAAATCCCCAAACCCAGATCCCAGCATGGGCAGAATCTGGGAATAAAGCCACTGCAGCCCTTGTGGTCACCAGTGACTCCTGCAAGGAGCTGCAAGGCATTTTGTACTTTCTTTCACCCAGCTACAATGTACCTTGACAAAGCTCTGACCTTGCTTTTTTTTTTTTTTCCCCAACATCTCTTGTTGGTTCATTCAGCAGATAGTTATTTGGGGCCTGTTGTATGCCAGCCACATACCAGCTTCTAGGGATGCTGTGGTGGACCAGACAGACCCAGTCCCTGCCCTCAGGGAGCTTTCAAACTTGAGAACCAGCAGGCATAGATACAGGGGATGCTCTATTTGAGTTTTCAGGACTGGCTTGGAGACTGGTGGTGGGATAAGGAAAGTCCTCTCCTGAAGGAGTGACTAGTAAGCAGCTTTTGTTAGGTTTAAGTTATTTTGTTGTCACATTGTCTTTTTCAATAGAAGATTGGCTCCTACTGGATTTGTTTTCAGTTTTCTCTTAGAGAAATTACACTCCAAGTTTGAGGAAGGTCTCATTTCTTATTAGCTTGTATGTAGTTTGAACAAAATAGCTCCTAGAACTTAATGAGGAAAAAGGGAAGGAAACAGGCGTCAGGCAGAGCAGTTAATTAAACTTAGAATAAGTGAAGAACAGATGAGGAAACTGTTGCACACATAATGAAGACAAGCTTCGGAGTCAAGCATGGAGAGATTTCTAGATATAGTGGAGCTCAAGGAGCTTGATAGAATCCAGAGGGAGTAGTTGATGGCTCTGTGAACTGCTGAGGTGGAAGTGAGCTGTTGTTCCAAGTGTGTGTCAATTTTAAATGAACGTATTCTTTGGATCCAGACATAAGAGACCAGTGAATTTTTGCATAATCATGGACGTAACTGAGGTAGAGTGGCTTTATATTTTGTTCTGTCATACTTGGGGAATTCTGGCACAGTGTTTTGAGGGAGATTAATTCAACAAATATGTGTTGAGCGTTGATTGTACCACACTCCCTATTGGTCTTTTGAAGCCGCTGCAAATTTGTGGATGAACAGGATGTAGATGAAGACTAGAAAGAAGCCATTGAGGAAGATAGAGAACAAATCATGATGGTGCCCTGTGATAACTGCCCTCATAGCGTTCTGTGAAAGAGGGAGGCTGAAGGCTTCCTGTGGAGAACTTGTTCTTACAAGATGCGTATGGGGGACGGGGAAGGAATGAAAGGGACTTTGCAAAGACACACAGGTCATGGTGTGTTCAGGGACTGTGGTGGGAAGCTCACTGTGGCTGCAGTGTGGAGTATGTGGATGGAAGAGTGGCCTGAGATGAAGCTGGATGCGGACTGGTTTGTTGAACTGCTCAACTTCATGCTGTCATCAGGCTTTAGACTCTGAGCACTGGCTAGCCAGCGGGCTTGGGATCAGAAAAGTGACAAAACCTCATCTGGAAGATAAATGACTGCCTCCATCTCATTATGTTCAGCCATAAGATTTTACCATTTAAAAGAACAGTGGATGTTGTAGCCAGAGTTTAAAAATAGACTGTATGGGAGGGAGACGCAAGAGGGAGGAGGTATAGGGACATATGTATATGTATAGCTGATTCACTTTGTTGTACAGCAGAAACTAAAACACCATTGTAAAGCAATTATCCTCCAATAAAGATGTTAAAAAAAAAAAAGACCCTGCAACAGGGAGTGACTGTCACTTCCTAGAGATTTTGGAGAGACCCCTTAAACCATTAGAGCTGTCAGGGGGCTCTGGCAACTTGCGATCGTTGTACTAAGTGGATAATTTAGACTATGTGTTACTAGTCCTAGCTCCAGTTTATAAAACTGCCCATCAGGCATTTGGGTGCTATCAGTCAGCGTGAAGGTCAGCTCCCACCTTCCAGGTATATGGGATTGTGGTGTTAATGGGGGAGAGAATTATCCTGCCTCAAAGAAGAATGTTTTGATGTTTTATATTTTTAATGGAAATATTCAGAACCACGGAAGCATTATTGATTTTAAAGATTGGATTGAGAATATTTTTTTGCAGTAAGACCTGAAGTTAACATTTTACTTATTCATTCAACAAATCTTTACTGAACATCTACTCCGTGCCAAAGATATTGTTAACGTACGAGGCTTTTCATTGGTAAACAAGAGAGGGTTTATGTTGCTTACATTCTCATGAGAGAGATGATCATTAAACTGTTTATCAAATAAAGTAATTAAAGGTTGTGATGAGAATTATGAAGGACATAAACAAGATGATATGTTAGAAGGAGGAGGGGACTGATGGATACTGTAAGTGATCTGATCAGGGAAGGCCTTTCTGAAGCCTGGTGTGTGGAGAGAGATGAACGATCGTAGGGGGAGTAGTCAGTTCTGAAGCCTGAGGAGGGCAGAGTGGACCAGTGGAGCTAGAGCTTGGGGGATGAGTGGAGAGAGGTGGAGATGTGATGGGGGAGCCAGGAAGGGGTCAGACCACACAGCCTGTAGGCCACAGAAGGGTATTTGCTTATTCTCAGAGCTCTGGGGAACCACTGTAGAATGTTGAATAGGGTGAGTGGTATGAGATCCACCCATTTCTCTTTCAAAGAACTTCTTTTTTTTAGACACTTTTTTTCAGAGCAGTTTTAGGTTCACAGCAAAACTGAGGGGAAGCTACAGAGATTTCCCGTTTACTCCCTGCCCCACCCATGTGCATAGCCTCCCCTTTTATCAGCATCTCCCACCAGAGTGGGGCATTTGTTACAACTGATGAACCTGCACTGATACAGCATAATCACCCAGAGTCCATCGTTCACCTTAGGATTGGTGTTGTGCATTCTGTAGGATTGGGCAAATGTATAGTGACATGTATCCATCTTTATGGTGTCAGTATTTTTATTGCCCTAAAAATCCTCTGTGCTCTGCCTACTTATCCCTTTCCCTCCCCCACACAAACCCTGGCAACCACTGATCTTTTTACTGTCTCCATAGCTTTGCCTTTTCCAGAAGGTTACAGAGTTGAAATTATACAGCGTGCAGCCTTTTCAGATTGCCTTCTTTCACTTAGTAATGTGCACTTCAAGTTCCTCCACGTCTTTTCATGGTTTGATAGCCCATTTCTTTGTAGTGCTGAATAATATTCTAGTGCCTGGATGTACCAACGTTTATTTATTCATTCACTTACTAATGTGCTAGTTGCTTCCAGATTTTTACAATTATGAATAAAGATATTGTAAACATTCTGGTGAAGGTTTTGTGTGGGCATAAGTTTTGAACTCGTTTAGATAAATACCAAGGGCTGCAACTGCTGGATCATATGGTAAGATTATGTTTAGTTTTGTAAGAAACCTTCAAATTGTCTTCCTAAGCGGCTGTACCATTTTGCATCCCCACCAGCAATGAATGAGAGTTCCTGTTGCTCCACATTCTCACCAGCATTTGGTGTTGTCAGTGTTCCAGATTTTGACCATTCTACTAGGTGTGTGGTGGTATCTCGTTTTAATTTGCATTCTCCTGATATATGATGTGGAGCATCTTTTCATAGACTTATTTGACATCTGTATGTCTTCTTTGGTGAGGTGTTTATTAAGATCTTTGGCCTGTATTTTTTTTTTGCAGTACGCGGTCCTCTCACTGTTGTGGCCTCTCCCGTTGTGGAGCACAGGCTCCGGACGCGCAGGCTCAGCGGCCGTGGCTCACGGGCTCAGCCGCTCCGCGGCATGTGGGATCTTCCCGGACCAGGGCACGAACCCGTGTCCCCTGCATCAGCAGGTGGACTCTCAACCACTGCACCACCACCAGGGAAGCCCTGGCCTGTATGTTAATTGGGTTGTTGAGTTTTAAAAGTTCTTTGTATATTTTGGATAACAGCCCTTTATCAGATAGGTCCGTTTTGCAGTTTTTCTCCTAATCTGTGGCTTGGCTTCTCCTTCATTTGACGTTGTGTTTTGTAAAGCCGAAGTTTTA